GGGTCACGTGACCTTGGGGGGTCACGTGACGATGATGTCATCAGTGACGTCACTGATGACGTCATCCGTGATGATGACGATGACGATGCGAATGCCGGTGACGTCATCAGTGACGTAACTGATGACGTCATCAGTGATGACGACGATGACGATGCGGATGCCAGTGAGGTCATCAGGGACGTCATTAACAATCAATCGCAATAAAACGACAAGGGATTCAACTTCATTGGCATGGGGTGGGAAGGTTTCGCATTTAAGGTAACAAAATATAACACTGAAAACCAGCAGCACCTACTCACTTGCTATTTTGACGCTGTGCTGTTTTGGCACGTGCTCTTCTGTCGCTGTGCTGTTTTGACGCCGTGCTCTTCTGTCGCTGTGCTGTTTTGACGTTTGCTATTTCGTCGCTGTGCTCTTTTGACGCCGTGCTGTTTTCACGCGTGCTGTTATGACCGTGCTGTTTTGTCGCGTGCTGTTTTGTCGTCTGCTCTTCTGTCATAGTGCCGGCCCAGGCTGCCCCTCGGACAATCATGAGTGATCATCTTGACTACGACGAGGCCAAGGGCAACTGGCTACGCGAGCAGCGTTCCGCCGCTGATGAAAGGCTGTCGCAGCGGATGCGCGGAGGGCTGTTTGGATCGCGGCGCGGGCGATAGCGGTCATTCCATGTTTACGTGCTCTTGAACCGGCTTGCTGTGTCCTCCCCGAGACGGGTAGCAGGAAGGAAAATCCCACACTTGCGGCCAGACGTGATGTGCTGCTCGTCTGGAATGATGGCCGCAAACTGGGTTCGTTTTTACGTTTTACATAGTCAATTTTGCGTTCCTGAGTTTGCCCACATTTGAAAGGGCGTTTCTTCGCAAGCCTAAGTCCATTGACCTGCGGAAGCCTCCACTACAACACGATTCCGTCTACAAAGGACGCCGACAGAAACGTGAGTGAGGACGACCTTTTGACGCTCGGTGCACTCGCGGATAACGCCGCCAACGATGTAAAGCAGACGCTAAGCCTGCAGTCTCAGTCCCGGCAGGCCCCTCATCAGAGTGTGGTCTAGCAGAACTAAGAGTGGCCATGACCATGCTTCTTCACATACAACGTGAGCACAAATGCGCTCAGGCCTTACTCCTGCTGGAAGCACGCCCCCAATGACTACCTGAGGCTCTCGCTTAGCGTTCCGGTTTTTTCGGGGTACGCAGATAAAAAGTCAGTCGCGATGTTCGTTTCGGAACTGCGGGACTAGGAAGCTGCACCGGGAATCGACGACGAAACGATCCTCACCCGCCTTTTGCCGGTTGCACTGACAGACAGTGCAGCACTGTGGAGGCAAAGACAAACTAAATTCACGTGTATGTCAGATTTCGAGGCGCGATTTAGGAAGGAGTTCCTGCCTCCGGATAACAGCATGGGGATTAGGGACGAGCTGCGCGCGCGAACACAGCACCCGGAAGGGTCACTCATTGAGTTTGTAAGGGCTCTCCAGGGCCTGTACGATATCGCCGACGCTGCGGCACCAGACGCGGAGAAAGTACAACGCGCCGTCCGCCAAAGTCACCCGGGTTTCCATCCCCATCTCAGCGACGCACCTTTACGAATTTAGACGAGATGGCACGGAAGGCGATCACCATCCAGGCTGACATCCTCGCGGAACTAAGATACCACCCACCTCCACAGCAGTACATGACTCTGGAACCATCATTTGCGTGGTCTGGAAACGCACGTGTACATAGAGTCGAGAGAGAACAAGACGATTTCAATCAGGCGTCGGTCCCCCGAGCCCTAGATCCTCGTGCATACGAACCGCGAGCCCTAGATCTTCGTGCATACAAATTACGGAGGTGCAGCGGTTATGAGGGCACGTATTCAGAACGCTACAGCCCCTCCATTGTTAAGATGAGTTCTTGTGGTCTGGACCGGTAACGCGGAGCTTGGGAGAGGCAAGGAAGAGCGGAACACCGCACGAAACCGACGGGCGGGCCACGCCCCGTTATTTTTGATGCGACCAGACAGGAAACATACACTGGGACTGCAGCGAACGGCAACGGCCGCCTCAGACACAGGGAAACGGCTACGGCCGGCGGTGGTAAGAAATTTCTACTCTCTGCCGGCCGTGCCGAGAACACAATCCACAAGATGGAGCCGCCGCAGCCGCCTCCGGGCCTCCCGGAGGCTCACACGGGCTCCGGGGACTGGCGCTTTTCTATCGACCCTTGGTGGGCCTTCATCACTTCTTCTTCCTCATAACACTCTCCCTTGTGAGACTCCCGGCGTCTCCGATTTTGCATAGACACCAGGGCGTCCAGCTCACACCGTTCGCGGTGTTGAGACTCCCGGCGTGTCGGCGTTCGTGTTGACACCTGGGCGCCCAGCTCACAAAACTTTCACTCTTCCTCGTGGGACTCCCGGCGTGTAGGCTTTTACACCGACACCCGGGCGCCCAGCCCACACCGCTCGCGGTCTCTAGACTCCCGGCGTGTCTGCTTTCACACCGACACAAGGGCGCCCAGCCCACACCGTTCGCGGTCTTGAGACTCCGGGATGTCTGCATTCACACCGACACCCGAGCGCCCAGCTGACACCGCTCGCGGTCTTGAGACTCCAGGCGTGTCTGCTCTCGCATCGACAATCGGGCCCAGCCAGCTCATAACACTTTCACTCTTCGTCGTGGGACTCCGGGCGTGTCGGCTTTGACACCGACACCTGGGTGCCCAGCCCACACCGCTCGTGGTCTTGAGACTCCGGGCATGTCTGCATTCACACCGACACCCGAGCGCCCAGCTCACACTGCTCGCGGTCTTGAGACTCCCGGCGTGTCTCCTCTCGCATCGACTACCGGGCCCAGCCAGCTCATAACACTTTCACTCTTCCTCCTGAGACTCCGGGCGTGTCAGCTTTCACACCGACACCTGGGCGCCCAGCCCACACCGTTCGCGGTCTTGAGACTCCGGGCATGTCTGCATTCACACCGACACCCGAGTGGCCAGCTCACACCGCTCGCGGTCTTGAGACTCCCGGCGTGTCTGCTCTCGATCGCATCGACAACCGGGCCCAGCCAGCTCATAACACTTTCACTCTTCCTCGTGGGACTCCGGGCGTGTCGGCTTTCACACCGACACCTGGGGGCCCAGCCCAAACCGCTCGCGGTCTTGAGACTCCGGGCATGTCTGCATTCATACCGACACCCGAGCGCCCAGCTCACACCGCTCGCGGTCTTGAGACTCCCGGCGTGTCTGCTCTCGCATCGACAACCGGGCCCAGCCAGCTCATAACACTTTCACTCTTCCTCCTGAGACTCCGGGCGTGTCGGCTTTCACACCGACACCTGGGCGCCCAGCCCACACCGCTCGCGGTCTTGAGACTCCAGGCATGTCTGCATTCACACCGACACCCGAGCGCCCAGCTCACGACGCTCGCGGTCTTGAGACTCCCGGCGTGTCTGCTCTCGCATCGACAACCGGGCTCAGCCAGCTCATAACACTTTCACTCTTCCTCGTGGAACTCTGGGCGTGTCGGCTTTCACACCGACACCCGGGCGCGCAGCCCACACCGTTCGCGGTCTTGAGACTCCCGGCGTGTCGGCTTTCACACCGACACCCGGGCGCCCAGCTCACACCGCTCGCGATCTTGAGACTCCGGGCGTGTCTGCTCTCGCATCGACAACCGGGCAGCCAGCTCATAACACTTTCACTCTTCCTCGTGGGACTCCGGGCATTCGGCTTTCACACCGACACCCGGGCGCGCAGCCCACACCGTTAGCGGTCTTGAGACCCCGGCGTGTCTGCTTCCACACCGACATCTGGGCGCCCAGCTTACACCGTTCGCGGTCTTGAGACTCTCAGCCGTGCCTGCTGTTGCAGTGACACCCCGGCGGCCAGCTCACAACATTCTCCGTCATGAGACTCCCGGCGTGTCGGCTTTCACACCGAAACCCGGGCGACCAGCTCACAGCGCTCGCGGTCTTGAGACTCCCGGCGTGTCTGCTCTCGCATCGGCAACCGGGCGGCCAGCTCATGACATTTTCACTCTTCCTCGTGGGACTCCCTGCGTGTCGGCTTTCACTCCGACACCCGGGCGCCCAGCTCACATCATTCGTGGTCTTGAGACTCCCGGCGTGTCTGCTTTCACACCGACACCTGGGCGCCCAGCCCACACCGCTCGTGGTCGTGAGACTCCCGGCGTGTCTGCTCTCGCATCGACAATCGGGCGGCCAGCTCATAACACTTTCATTCTTCCTCGTAGGACTCCCGGCGTGTCGGCTTTCACACTGACACCCGGGCGCTCTGCTCACACCATTCGCGGTCTTGAGACTCCCGGCCTGTCTGCTTTCACACCGACACCCGGGCGCCCAGCTCACACTGCTCGCGGTCTTGAGACTCCCGGCGTGTCTGCTCTCGCATCGACAATCGGGCGGCCAGCTCATGACATTTTCACTCTTCCTCGTGGGACTCCCGGCGTGTCTGCTTTCACACCGACACCTGGGCGCCCAGCTCACACTGCTCGCGGTCTTGAGACTCCCGGCGTGTCTGCTCTCGCATCGACAATCGGGCGGCCAGCTCATGACATTTTCACTCTTCCTCGTGGGACTCCCGGCGTGTCGGCTTTCACACCGACACCTGGGCGCCCAGCTCACACTGCTCGCGGTCTTGAGACTCCCGGCGTGTCTGCTTTCACACCGACACCTGGGCGCCCAGCTCACACTGCTCGCGGTCTTGAGACTCCCGGCGTGTCTGCTCTCGCAACGACAATCGGGCGGCCAGCTCATGACATTTTCACTCTTCCTCGTGGGACTCCCGGCGTGTCGGCTTTCACACCGACACCTGGGCGCCCAGCTCACACTGCTCGCGGTCTTGAGACTCCCGGCGTGTCTGCTCTCGCATCGACAATCGGGCGGCCAGCTCATGACATTTTCACTCTTCCTCGTGGGACTCCCGGCGTGTCTGCTTTCACACCGACACCTGGGCGCCCAGCTCACACTGCTCGTGGTCTATCAGACTATCATCATCAATGTTTATTCACGTAAAGATGTACAAAGAAATGTCTGATTAGTCATCTGGATCCATAGCCTACATGGCTAGTAATGGATCCATTAAAAAAACATTCACATTTAAAACAATCCTATAGGCATTCACACAATCTATACATAGCTGCACAAATAATATAACTACTAGTACGGAGTTAACAGGGTGAGTTGTACACTTCAGATGAAATAAATCGTTTTAATGAGAGTACAAAATTTGTTGCTAGTTTTATATTACATGAAATGTTATTCCATATCTTCGCACCAATGAACGATATTAAGCGGCGCCCGTAGGCATTGTAAGTTATCGGCAAATTAAGGTTATTATAATGTAGTTGTCGGGTTTCACGTTTTGGAAAATTGAATATAGAAGAGTGATATGGAGTATTCTGGGTTAAAATTCTTTGGACTAAAGTGGCAGTCTTATGGTCGCGAGCTAAGTTGATGGGGAGTATGTTTAATTCACTAAAAAGATGCTTAGCTGATGCATGTATAGGTGCTGCCGCTATTATCCTGATTGCCCTTCTTTGCAGAATGGTAACTCTCGCTAGATATGACGCGTAAGTGAAACCCCATGATTCAACACAATAGGTTAAATGAGTATGAAACACACCGAAGTAAATCATGCGTAATGTTTGTTTGCTAAAATGTTTCCGTGCTTTCACTAATGAAAAGCATCCGAAGGTTAATTTTTTACATAGCTCGTCAATGTGGGGAGCCCAGTGTAGTGTTGAATCTAGGGTAATTCCTAGGTATTTATAAGTGATAACTTGATCGATGTGTAAACCTCCTAGATGCAGGTTACATGTAAATGATTGTTGTTTCCGATCAGACGCGAAAACAATGAACTTAGTTTTTTTAATATTTAGCACCAGCTTGTTGCAATTAAACCAAGTTATCGTATTTTTCAAGTCGTTATTTGCTAGTAATTCGGCCTCTTCAAGAGAATGATGTGATACTAGTAAGGCTGTATCATCGGCGTATAAAACTGCTTCGGAGTGTCTGAGGCAAGCTGCGTAATCATTGATGAAAAGAGAGAAAAGTATCGGTCCTAACACCGACCCCTGTGGTACACCAGTCTTCACTATCGCGGTTGTAGATTGATTATGGGAAATTTGTACAAATTGGGTGCGGTTTGTTAAGTAGCTACGAAAAAATTTGCCAGCTGGCCCTCGAAAACCGTAACGCTCAAGTTTTTGTAAAAGAATGTCGTGATTAACAGAATCGAAAGCTTTTTTTATATCGAGAAATATGCCTATAGTAGTTCTATTTTTGTTGAGGGAGGAATTGACTATTTCTGATACGGAGTGTACTGCTGTGCCTGTAGAGAAGTTTTTCCGAAAACCATGTTGATTAGCAACCAAAATGTTGTATTTCTCGACAAAGTTCATTATTCTCGCGGCAATTAGTTTTTCAAATAGTGTATTAATGCAGGACAGAATTGTAATCGGGCGATAATTAGCCAGGTCATTAGGGTCACCACTTTTGTAAATTGGTACTACTCGCCCAATCTTAAGTTTTTCTGGGTAAATTCCCGATAAAAATGCCTGGTTAAACAGTTTTTGTAGTGGGTAGCACAGGATGTCAATGTTGTCTTTCAATAGGTTTACCGAGATTTCGTCGTGGCCCATAGCTTTGTTTGATAACATTTGTCTGGCAACGCCAACAATTTCGGCGGCTGTTATTTCTGCGTAAACAAATGTATTAATGCATGGGCTAGGTAGGATAATTTTTGACGTTTCATCTGATACTGCAGCTGAGGATGTACCTATGCTAATGAAAAAGTCATTGAACATTGACACAAGGTGCGCTTGATCACAATTAAGAATGTTCAAATCTGGTAAAATGTTACATTGTTGAGAGGACTTCATTACAAGGTTAATTGTGCGCCATATTTCTTTGGAGCTACCGTTAGCTTTCGCAATACGGCTGCTAAAATATTGCTTTTTACGCTTCCGCATGGTGGATAGCGATAGGTTCCGTGCAACTCTAAACTTTTCCCTGTAATAGTCGTTGTCCTTGTTTTGCTTCATTTTGTTATACAAGTGTTCCTTGAGCCTAATTAACTTCAGTATCTCCTCGTTCATCCAGGGACAAATGGGAGAATGAAGCTGTGCTGCCCGGCGAGATACAAATTTGTGTGCTATAAAACAAGATTTGAACAGTGTTGAAAAGGTATCATATGCATTGTTAGTGTCGGTAAAATTGATCTGAGAAAAGTTTGTCTCCTGAAGGGACCTTTTAGTTGCCTCGTAATTCCACCTTGATACACCATGGCCGACTGTGGGCTCTTTTTGAAGGTTCTTTTCTGCATTGGGAGCGACAATAAAAGTAGGGAAATGATCTGCGACGTTTTCTGTTATAACCCCAGCTTTTACGGAGCTGTCTTCAAAATTGGAGAGTATATGATCTATTGTTGAACAAGACGTTAGTGTTACTCTTGTTGGATCTGTAATATGGTTCTGGAAGCCGTAAGATAGCAGGAGGTTCCGGTATTCTGTACTTGAGGGGTCTGTTATATTTATGTTGAAGTCACCACAGATAATCGCTTTGTTATTTTTGTTCGCAAGACGGTACAACACATCTTCCAGCTTTTCTAGGAATGCCCGAGTGTTTGATTCCGGCGGTCTGTATATTACACCAACAATGACTCCACAATCCAGTTCCGCAAACAGCATGTCATACAGGCCTGTTTTCGTCTCTGTCAAGTTTGGTAATATCTTATATATGGTTTGTGAAGATATGTAGAATGCTACGCCACCACCTCTTGAACTAGCCAATCTTGGCAGGGATAAAAATCTATAATTAGGAATGTTCATAAATTCATCTTTTTTAAGCCACGTCTCCGAGATTGCCACAACGTTGTACCGCTCATCCAGCCGCGTCAACAAAGCGACCAGTGGATCATAGTTTTTGTTTAAGCTCCTAACATTACAGTGTAGAAGGCTTATAGCTTCAGAGCTCGTACACTGCATGGTGCACGTCACACCGTTACGCATTCCTAGCTCGGTGTCTTGGTTTTTGAGGCTATGCTATCTTAGCCAGGTCATCTCGAGAAGCGATGTGAATGACATTCGAATTTTCTGCCTTCCTTGCTAGTATTTTTGACTGCGAGACCCACACATATCTCCAGTTTTTTTCTTTCTTTCTAGCAATTGCCATGCCCAGCAAAGCTTTATATTCTGGACAGAGGTGCTCGTTAATATACACCGCATTGGTATCTGGAAACCCGATATCGCTAGCTGAGAGCCTTTTCTTTTTTGCCGCTCGCAAGACTTTATCTCGCACGGCACGTGACGAGAACCTTACAATGATGTTTGTTTTTGTCCTGTCCTTTGTGGGCACACGATGCACCACGTCAATATCTTTGGGTTCGACGCACATTCCAACTTTGTCCCCTATCTTCTGAACAACTTCCATCAGTGATTCGTTCTGGTTTTGCGGAATCCCCTTAATCTCAAGATTGCTGAGCCTGGTGTATTGCTTCAACTCTGTTAATTCTTTCTGCGTGGTCCCAAGCGATTGTGCCAGTTGCTCTTTTTCCAGTTTTAACGCTGCATGCTCCTTTTTAAGTGCATCTAGTTCCACCTTTGTTGTACGAAGCTCTTCAAAAGTTTCGTTCATGTACGTCATACCCTCTTTTACGTCATCAATATCTTTTCTAAGCCCTGCGTTCAGGTCAGTGACGTATTTTAGCAGTTCTTTGATAGTCGACGGAGGTTTGTCACACATTTCGAACAGCGAGCAATCAAGGTCACGAGCGAAAAGAAAATAAGGAAAGAAGAAAGCAACAGGGTTCAAAACCTACAGACCTGCAAGGTATTGCAAAAGCAATCAGCTTTCCCTTCGATGCGCTCGTGCCCGGATTGCTCGCTGTTGTGGTGCTCTCCGGGGCGCGGCCAGCCACTTTATCGGTGCAGCGCTGGATCGCCGATACCGCGCGCAGGCGCGTGTCTTGTGCGTGACGTGGAGATTTGGCCGCTGGTAAAGCAGGCACCCTCAGGGGAGTGCGAATCCTTGCTGCACCTGCCGTTCGGTTGACGCTGCTGGGGCCCACACGACGTTGACGGTCAACTGCAAGGTATTGCAAAAGCAATCAGCTTTCCCTTCGATGCGCTCGTGCCCGGATTGCTCGCTGTTGTGGTGCTCTCCGGGGCGCGGCCAGCCACTTTATCGGTGCAGCGCTGGATCGCCGATACCGCGCGCAGGCGCGTGTCTTGTGCGTGACGTGGAGATTTGGCCGCTGGTAAAGCAGGCACCCTCAGGGGAGTGCGAATCCTTGCTGCACCTGCCGTTCGGTTGACGCTGCTGGGGCCCACACGACGTTGACGGTCAACTGCAAGGTATTGCAAAAGCAATCAGCTTTCCCTTCGATGCGCTCGTGCCCGGATTGCTCGCTGTTGTGGTCTTGAGACTCCCGGCGTGTCTGCTCTCGCATCGACAATCGGGCGGCCAGCTCATGACATTTTCACTCTTCCTCGTGGGACTCCCGGCGTGTCTGCTTTCACACCGACACCTGGGCGCCCAGCTCACACTGCTCGCGGTCTTGAGACTCCCGGCGTGTCTGCTCTCGCATCGACAATCGGGCGGCCAGCTCATGACATTTTCACTCTTCCTCGTGGGACTCCCGGCGTGTCGGCTTTCACACCGAAACCCGGGCGACCAGCTCACACCGCTCGCGGTCTTGAGACTCCCGGCGTGTCTGCTCTCGCATCGGCAACCGGGCGGCCAGCTCATGACATTTTCACTCTTCCTCGTAGGACTCCCGGCATGTCGGCTTTCACACCGACACCCGGGCGCCCAGCTCACATCGTTCGTGCTCTTGAGACTCCCGGCGTGTCTGCTTTCACACCGACACTTGGGCGCCCAGCCCACACCGCTCGTGGTCGTGAGACTCCCGGCGTGTCTGCTCTCTCATCGACAATCGGGCGGCCAGCTCATAACACTTTCATTTTTCCTCGTAGGACTTCCGGCGTGTCGGCTTTCACACCGACACCCGGGCGCTCTGCTCACACCATTCGCGGTCTTGAGACTCCCGGCGTGTCTGCTTTCACGCCGACACCTGGGCGCCCAGCTCACACTGCTCGCGGTCTTGAGACTCCCGGCGTGTCTGATCTCGCATCGACAACCGGGCGGCCAGCTCATAACACGTTCACTCTTCCTCGTGGGATTCCGGGCGTGTCGGCTTTCACACCGACACCCGGGCGCCCAGCTCACATCGTTCGCGGTCTTGAGACTGCCGGCGTGCCTGCCATCACACCGACACCTGAGCGCCCAACTCACACCGCTCGCGGTCTTGAGACTCCCGGCGTGTCTGCTCTCGCATCGACAACCGGGCGGCCAGCTGATAACACTTTTACTCTTCCTGGTGGGACTCCCGGCGTGTCTGCTTTCGCACCGACCCCCGCTGGGGGCACCTGTGAAAACAGGTGTTTGGAGAGTAGCGTCTCCACGTACCCCGAGCCCCGCAGGGGGCGCCTGCACCTTGTGTGCTAGGTGCTTGGTGAGTAGCGTCACCACGGTCCCCAGCCACGTGGGCCACCATACGTACACGCAGGGGGCACCTACTTTAGAGTAGGCGCTTGGTGAGTGGCGTCACTACGACCCCCGAGCCATTTGGGTTCGCCCACCCACGTCTGGTTGTGCGTGGCTTAACCCGTGTCCGGGGAAAAGGGGACCCTGGTGGTTGAGTTTAGCCCGGCGTATGTTTTGACCCTTCGGGGCCCCCCGGCCCCGAAGGGTCAAAATGCACCGCTTCCGCCCTGCTTCTCGTAGACGGGTGTCCTGGCTTGGCCTGACCAGGATGATTCAGCCAGTCGCCTCTTCTACCCTCTTCTTCCTTCTTTCACTTTTCCTCCCACCTCTTTCTCTTTTCTTGTACACTCTCTTCCTTCCGTTTTCACCTTTTTAGGCGGCAAGGGCCAACCTTGAGTGGAAACAGGTTCTGTCCCTGCTACCACACTAGGGTATAGTGCCCGGCAGCACTGGTAGAGTAATTGTGTCAGCCGAGCCTTTCTTGCTATAGCACATTACCTACCCCCTTGTTGGACTCCGTGGTGGGCGGTCCACCCGGGCACCGAATTTCCTTCCAATCTATATGGGTTCGCAAACTAAAAAACCTCCTGATCGGGCCCTGAAAAGGGTCCGCACCGAAGTACAGTTTCAATTTGAAAGGTCCGTTGTTTCCGTAAAGTTTCCAAGATTCCTAGTTTTACATTCTGAAAATGAAAAGCAA